CTGTAAAGGACATGAGCTGGGAGCAACTTCAGACTGCCATACAGGTCTTGTCTGACACCTGTGAAAAGGAGGGAAGGAAAGATTGGGTAGAAAGAGCTTTAGACTTTGGTGAAGTTCTTGTGAAGTCTTCCCAGGTTAATAGGGAGTTCCTGAGCTAAGGTTTCCCATTAGAGGAATCCCATGTTGGACAGGGATCATCTGGCTCTAATACCACTGCTGTGCTCAGTAACTGGAGAGAAGCATGTCCTTGGTGTAAATACATGAATCCAAAGGTGTAGAAGGTGGAGGCTGACAGTTAACTATGCTTCCTACAGAAGCGTCTCTTAAAGGTAGACCTGAACAGTGTACTCTCATGGTTGCTACGCTGTACATTCCAGAGAGGAAGTGGTCCTATGTAATGGAGCTTTCAACCAGATAGTCTTCTCCTGGAATGGTGCCACATCAAGGGCTCGGTATTGGTCTCAACTGCTGGCAGGTTTGACAGTCAGCAATGGCTGCAGCTAGATCAGCCTGGAGGAAAAGGAGCCCTGCATAGTCTCTGCATTAGTTATCTATTGCTGCATAACAAAGTACCTCAAAAGTTAGTGGCTTAAAACAACAAACATTTATTATCTCACCCTCCATATAAAGCCACTGACCAAGGGTTCTGCTAGCAGCTTTGCAGCAGGAGGAAGCTTTCTCTTTCCAAGTGTCTTTAGGGCAACCTCTAACTGGGCTATCGTGCAGCAGCAGTCCCTATATAGTTAACATCCACTTACTGTACTGACCCATCTGTGGATGAGGTCCACATTTTCTTTCTCCATTACAAAACTTTGGTTGAAGGGAATCTCCAGGGAAGCCGTAGAGTTGAGGGAGATGTGTTGGTGAAACTATCAGAATTAGATGTCCTAGGAATTTACAGGTGACTTCTGGACCTGCTCAGGCTCAATCCCAGATGTACCATTTTTGCACAGTGGATTACTATTATGCCCACCCATAATGAATCTGATAATAGTCCTTTGATAATTGGTGGCTTTGTCCCTATAGTTTCTGGGTGGCATGTTATCAATTCTCAGTCTCTCCTAGGGCCCAGAGTATCTCTGGGGTTGTCTTTCAAAAAGTGAGTATTTCTCTACCACAACAGGCAGGACCTATATGCTTTTCTCCTCTTCGGGTTTACCAGAGACTTCACACAGTATCCTTAGCCACAAGATGCATCAACATCATTGAATCTACTGGTTCGTATGCCCTGAATAGCAGGGGAGCTTGTCCTGCAGCCCAAACTGGATGCAGGACCCCACTCTCACTCGGTCCCCCACTCAAAGCTGCTGTGTTCTGCTTCACTTGATTCATCTGCCAGAATAGTACTCCCAAGTGCAGTGTATTACTACCCCACTTACTTGGAAAGTGATTCCGAGGCCAGGAATGAGCAATGGATAAATGGAACAGGGAAAGAAGGAAAGGAAATTCAAGCGTGGATTATTGAGTTTGTCAGTTGCTACAGGTGACTGGTATTTGATTCCATGGGATCAACTGAAGAGTTTTATGAAATATGTCTACTGCATGGAGACCTAAGAAGGGGAGCATTTGAAGTACTGGGTTGTGCACACATGTGTACTGAGAAGTTTCCCATGCCTGTCTCCTGTCCCTGTGGGGCTCTGGACCATGCCTGAAGCAAGGCACTTCCAGACTGCAGTCCTGCAATGCTGGTCAAAGCCTGAGTGTGGACTGGGTTGCCACTGAAGTGGCTCCAGTTAGAGGGAGGGCCAAGAGAATTTGAAAAAATGTACAAGTAGCAGTGAAGAAAGTGGATCTTCTAGATCTCTTCAGAAGGGGTGCAATTCTTAATGATGAAGGAAACATTTCAAGTCTTACCAGCACCCAGAAGTAATTATCAGAGACGTTTCACAAAAATATACTTGTACCAACAGTACTTCTTGATTTAAGTTATTTCTCCAGGGATGTCTTCTCCCGCTGGCCACCTGGTTTTACTCAACAGAAGTATAGCATCAGAGCAACTGCATGTTAGCCCTGTATAAGTCTCAGTGCATGCAGCTTGTCTCAGAGTTCCAGGAAGGTAAAGACATGACCAGTCCTTTGTTTGTGTCAAAATTAGAGATCTATCTCAGTCCCATATTTGACTTTTCTTTAACTCAGAAAAAACTTACTATGCATCTCCTAAGAACTAGGCATTGACCTTGGTGCTGAGGAGACTAAGAGGAATGTATTGTGGTCTCTAATCTTGAGGAGCTTGGAGTCAATTGGGAGAGAATGGCATGGAGAGATGGCAAGACTGAGTTCATAGCTCTGTAAGCGTATGGGGAAAACAACTTGTTGTTTGTGAGGCAATCTGCAGTGAAAAATATTACCACAACCCTCCAAGATTAGCAAGGGAAGAATTGCCACTCAGGGAGGAGATAACTACACTTTCCTCTTGCTCTGACAGATTCTCCCAGTTTGGGGGCATCTCTTCAACCCTCAATCTCAAATGCTGATAAATGTATCCCTTAAAGAGTAGCCTACGGATTCATTCCTATAGTTCACCTAAGTCCCAGGCTGGAATATTTAAAAACAACTCAATTAAGATTTAAGGATAACAGAACAAAAGGATGCCAAACAGTGAGAAATGCAGTTTACATAGTTTGTATTTCTTTTCTTTTACTTCCTTTTTTTAAATTTTAAAGCAGCCTGGCTTGGAGCCCAACATGGGACTTGAATTCACAATGCCAAGATCAAGACATGAGCTGAGATCAAGAGTTGGATGCCCAACTGACTGAGCCATTCAGATGCCCCATCATGTACATTTCTATATTCATATGAATGTGCATCCTATTGTGTTCTTAGTTTCCTGTTTAGGGCCTCATTTCCAGATTACTTATTTATTTAATGAACGCTTTGTATGGGGCTTAATAAGTACCAGCACTGTCCTAAGCACTTTACAAATGTTAACTTATTTTAAGCTTTATAACAATCTGGTGAGGTGGGTATTATTATCACCGACATTTTAAAGAGGAAAAAACTGTGGCATTGAGTGGTTAGTAACTTGTCCAGTTTTACACAGTTAGTAAGAAGCAGAGCTATGATGTGACCTTAGGCAGTCAGGGCCAGAGCTCATGCTCTTAACCACTACTCTAAACTCCTGACACTGGGAACAATTTCACCTGATTCCCTATCCTTAAGGGTGGGCCAAACTCCATGATCTTAACGCATAGCCTCAAGTATACAATATAACATATACAGACACAGATTAAACACACACTGTCCTTGAGGGCCTGGGCATGGGCCTGGGTACACACAGCAGCAGCATCTGTCTTTGGGTTATAGTAATTACTGGTTTACAGTAAAGTCACAGATGATACAAAATCATTAAAATAAAGAAATAAAAGGACAAAAGGGTAGAGATGGAGTTGGGGGTTGGAAAAGACAGTTGGTATTTACATCAGAAAACCTAGGCTGAGGGAAACTCCTGCAAATCAGTGTACGACTTAGCTCTGAAATTCTGGAAATCAAGGAAAAAGAATATGAAGAGTACATGGCTTTTATTGCCTGACTGAAGGAAGATCCTTGATGATAGCAAGAGCCCTAGCTGCACAATCTTTCGGTCTGTGGGTTTGGCTGCTGTTGTTTCTTTGCCTTAAAAGGGCTCCCAGTAACTTTATATTAATGATCTACTAGATTTCTAACTGTAGCATTTTGCTTTGGTGACTCTGCTGTTTTTTTGTTTTGTTTTGGAACCCCATCCTTCCCCTCCACCAGTATGTCATAAATTTGCTGTGTCACTTGAATTGTATTTCAGTGTGCCAGCCAGTCGGATGACATTATTTACTGAATTTTAGCATCTGCTGTGTATGGAACCTGGTGTTAAAGGACTTTCAAACAATAGTTTTTAAAAGAAATATACTAAAAATAAAATTTAATATTGGGTGATTCGAAAGCATTCAGGCAGCATTGAATAGGCAGGGGTCAGTCATGGTAGCCTTTTCCAGAAGGTGGGTTTTAATCCTGGATTTAAACTAAGGGTCTTGGACTGGCAGGGGTGGAAGAGTGTTCCAGAGTTAACCATGACAGCCAGAATGAGGAAATCAAGTGTAGGGAATGGAAAAGACAATCAGGTAGATGTCTTTGAAAGATGACACCAAGAAATAAGAAAACAAAGGAGGCTCTGCCCTGCATCCTTTGGGGGACTCCATCAGGAAGAGGCTGACCAGAGGTGCACTTCATTTTATGCAACAGACACAACGCCTGAGAGTATAAAATAAGAGTAAAAAGTGGAGCGTCTACTGTGCATCAGGCACTGAGATTTAATTTTCGTATCTACTCTGTAAAGTGGGAATTATTTTCATTTTGCACACAAGGCAGTGGGCTCAGCAGTGAGGTTAAGTGGCCCATGTGCCCAGTGTTGTCCAATTATTATACCGTGGAACCTCCGAAGTCAATCGGGTTGTGTGACCACGAAGCCCAAGCTTTTGTATGCCACATACATTTTTGTAACTTGAATATTGAAGATAAGCAAGTGGTGAGGATTATTTGAATAAGTCCTAGAGTCCTTTCTTCTGTGAGTTACATGTCTACAAACATGTTTTGCAAAGGTCCGAGGTAGAGATTTTCTTGACTGAGTGCATGATGTTAGTTTATTTCATTAAACATACATTACTTTGCCCCATTTGACACCAGATAATGACACCGAAAATATCCTTAATACAATTTTTAGGTCATTCCGTCCATTAGGCAGATAATTTCGCAAAGCAATGTCATGGCCAAACCAATCTACCGGGGAAGATAACTGAAGTTTCCCACAACGCCCAGGCTGTGGAGACCGGGAAAAGTGTAACTCGCGTCCACACTAAAAGAAAGGCTGTTCAAACACTAAAAGGAAGGCTGTCCGAGCGAGACGAGGGTAGGCTCCACGAGGGGGAAAGTGGGTGGAGGCGGATGACAGCCGCTGCGCGGAGTGACCCGCCCTGGGCCCGCGGGCCTCCGACCCCGCCCGTCGGTGTGGCCCGGCACCAGGGCCGCGCCGGGGCCTGCGCATGCGCGCGGGGCCACGGCGACTACGCCGACACTACCACCTCCTACGCGCCGCCTTCCGCCGCTGTTACCCTAGCTCTCCACCCTTCCATCCCGCGGCGCCCGAGTGGTCATGGCCGATCCTCGCGTGAGGCAGATCAAGATCAAAACCGGCGTGGTGAAGCGGTAAGGAGCCGCGAGCAGCGCACACGCCGCCGCCTCTCCTTCGCCTTATGGCGGTCCGAGAGGCCGGGCGGAGCGCAGGCCCAAAGCGGGCTCGGGACTCCAGGCCTCACCTGGGGCTCCGCGGCCGGGACGCGGCGGGGACGCGTCGGTGCCTGAGCCCGCGGGCCGGGACACCCCCCCGCCCCCGCCCCGGCCCCGGCCGTCTTTCTCCTAGAGAACCGAACCGTTGGGCGGCGGGGTCGGCGCGGCCCCGCCCCTCGGGCGCCGGCGGTAGAGGAGACCGGGGAGCGGCGGCCGGGGAGGTGGAGGGGCGGCGGCCCGGAGCCGGAGGCGGCGCCGTTCGGGGTCGTACCTCCGGGGTGCGCGCGTCGCGGGTCTCCCTGCCCAGCTTGATTGGTGGGGGGCGGATTCAGTCCATTACCTGCCCTCAGATGGATGCGCAAGCCCGTTCTGAAGTTTAGCGGGGACGCCGAGAGCCCGGCCCTCAAAAATGAGGCCTTGCTGGGGCCCTGTGATCTAACATGGCAGGCGGGACTCCCAGTCTCTAAGAACTTGCAGCACACTCACCAAACTTCTGTGGCCTATTTCTCCCCTCCGTCAGTTTCCCCGAAGTTCGCCCCCGAAGCTGTGGGATGCTGTTGAAATAACTATCCTGGGTAGGCCCGTCCTGTAATTGGCCATAATTCTGAGTGCCGTTGGACACTTCAGTACTTCCTAGATTTTTATGCTGCAGACCCAGGAACATCAAACTTTTTGATGAGGCATGCTCGGAGAAAAGATAAACAGCCCCCAGAAGAAGCAGGCTATTTTGCAGTAGAAGTAAATGTCTAATCCTAGCCGTCTGGCTTCTTCCTCCCTTTCCTCTCCACCTTTCCTCCCTTTGTTGATATTTCCACCGGAGGAAGGACAGGCAAAGGGAAGAATAAATTCACTTAACTAAGGTACTGCCTCTGAGGATCGCACTACTTTCCTAGAAGCTTTATTGTTACGGCAGTAGGAAGATTCTGCGAGTAGTAGTCAAGTGAACAGCCTTTTCTCAAGTGAGAGAAAAATCAAATCTTGATTCTGCCATTTATTATATGTTGCTGAATACCTTACATTGCACCGTGCCTCGGTTACCTCATCTGTAAAGTGGAGTTAGTAGCCACCTCCTGCAGTTCTTGCAAGAAATGCCTGCTGTGCTTTTTAACCCAGTATGTGGCAAATAGTAAGTGGCTAGTTAATGTTAACTTAGTAGTATTGTTTATGTACCTGTTTTACAAATGAGAAGCTGAGGTTTAATGAAGTTAAAGTAGAAAAACTAAACTCGTGCTAGTTAATGGCAGAACAGGGAAAAGAACCAAAGTTTCTGATCTACAACTATTTAAGCTGCAATGCTGTAAAAAAGAGTATTTTTAAAGATGTGTGAAATAGGGGAATTGACATGTATAATTGAAAATATAAATAATTTGCACTGTCACTCACCCTAGAATTCTGTTGTTCACTTTTGCTAGGTTTTGTTTGTCATTTTAGTAGATCTATTTGGCAGAAGTACCAGGGTATCACGGAGAGTGCTTTAGGCCAAAAGTCATGAGAAATGACTCCTGATGATAGTTTTCCATTAATTACCTGTATGATCTTGTCATTTCTCATCCTAATGATCTACACTAGTTTATAAAATTAGTTCCAGTAGTTATATGATTATAATACATATTCTAGAGAAAACACACCCATTTAAATAATTAATAAGCTAAGTTTTTAGGCTTTCAAAAATTGTCAAGCGCATATGGAAATAGCTTGGAAATAAAGTTTGGTTTTCAATTTATTTCAATAGAGCATTATCAAACTTTAATTTTGATTCTTTGTACTTCAGTACAAAAAATTTACCATTTTTGTGAAACCCCTTCATAATTTACTATTTACTTAAAATTTATGTATTTACTCAAATTGCTTATAAATTACTGGAAATGTCTACCACAGATTTTTTTCATGGTTTTTCTAAGGACATTTTGGTGTAGAGCTTCCCCATTTGTAGTAAAAGGAGATACGTTCTTTAATAAACCTAAAATTTCTATTTTAACTGTTCATTATTTATATTTTACCTTGGTAGACAACCATCTAAATCCATAAATATTGTTCCCTGTCTCTCTTCTGTTATTTTTTGCCAGAAAGTTATTTTGCTGATTCCACCTTTTGCCTTAGTGTCCTATTTTTTAAATTCTACATTTTACTTCAGCAAAGAAAAAAGTAGATAATGCAAGATACAGCGGCAACATATTAATAATTTTTAGGGTGGAATGATCATGGGCTTCATTATGTTCTTCTCTGTATGTGTTTAAAATTTTTATAATAAAAAGGTCTTCAAAGGTATGCATTTCTCTCCTCTCCAAATTTAGTTTCAAAGACTTCTTGATTAGTTTCATGATTCAGACATGTTCTTGGTTTTGTGAACAGGCTTCTGTTCAGTGGTTTCTTAAAGCAATGGTCTAAAAACCAATTTCTGTTCTTTTTTCTAGCCAGATGTTCATTTCCCATAGCCTCATTTCTCTTCAGAAGTCACAACTTTTATTTGAAAGAAGACATTTAAAGTCATCATTCCTGTCTCCCAATTATTTCAGGTTTTCTCTCCAGGAGTTGAGAGCCATTAGAATTATATTCTAGTTATAAGTTCTAGAGTTCAGTTTGGGTGGCTTTCCTAGGGAGGGTGAATTCTTAGAGTTAGTGTCTAATCAGTCTGCTAGAATACTTCAGGGATCCAGAAGTTCCCTGTAGTGGATTTTAGTAAGAAATCTGAGCAGGGATGGGGAAAGTTATAAGAGTATGGATATAGGCAGTAAGTAGATGATGGTATGTGGCAACAGAGAGATCAATGAATGAAAGATGTGAGTCTCAGCATGTTGGCAGAATGGTGAAGGCAGTCCAGTGATGGCAAATCACATTAGACAGGAAAGTAGAAGCAAGTTTCAGGGATTTTAGGTTAGGCCCTAAGGAAATAGGCAGAAGCCTTACAGTACCCTAGGCCTAAAGAAACTTTGTTATCTCATATGGTAACAAAGGGAGAGGATCAGATTGCTGGAAATAGGTTTTGAGAAAGAGGTTAGAACTCTAGAAACAAGGAAAGAGTCCAGTTACTAAGAATGGCTTATAAGAGTTGGACAGCAATGAGGCTACCTTGGTACTGAGCCTCTCAAGGGCTCCTTAAATATCCCCTTCCCAGTAACAGGATTGTTTTTCCAGAGCTAATTATGGCTGTAAGAGATGTGTGCAGTTTCTTCAAGCAGCAGCCTTTGTTCACATGTGACTCATTATTTAATGAGTGTTAGTTGGTGGGTTCGGGTCTGGCACCAAGATCCATGTTTCAGGCTTTTGCTAGACCTACTGGTATCTGTCACTGGGTCACAGCTAATGTAGCAGCCTAGCAGGGAGTTATCAAATATCACTCCAATTTTCGTTTTCTCCAGTGCATAACTGAAAATCCCCCCTCCCTTTTTTTGATATCTTGGTGGCATCAGTTGTCCCAGTTTACCTGGGATTGAGGGGTTTCTAAGATGTAGACTCTTCGGTGCTAACACTGGGAAAGTCTCAGGCAAACCAGGATGATTTGTATTAGTACTTCTGCTGTAACTAGCTAGCATACCACTGTTTTGTGTGCCATGATTTATTTGGAGGCTATCTGCTGATAATACAACTGTGAATTGAATGTTGTACCTTACTTAAATTAAAACTTAACTGTGTCCTATAAATATGAATCCTTGCCAGAGTAGTTTTCTGTATCAATTTAAATTGTTAGGGATTTAGAAAATAACTTTTATTAAAGTAGAAGAAAATCGAGGCTCAATGTTTTAAATGTTGATATGGTATTTCAGCTTAATGATCTAGGTCTGCTGTAAATTCCCAAGTAAGATTTGTGTTTATAAAATAAGTTTTTTTTACTAGATTTATGGCAAGTACAAGAATACTTATGCAAAAACAAAATGTTATGCATTTAACATAAAAGTTTATTTAATAACCTTAAAGCCAACTTATTTTCAATAAAGCTTGCTAAACTAGGGACGCCTGGGTGGCTCAGTCGGTTAAGCGTCTGCCTTCGGCTCAGGTCACGATCCCAGGGTCCTGGGATCGAGTCCCGCATCAGGCTCCCTGCTCCGCGGGGAGCCTGCTTCTCCCTCTGCCTCTGCCTCTCTCTCTCTCTCTCTCTCTATCTCTCATGAATAAATAAATAAAATCTTTAAAAAAAAAAAACTTGCTAAACTAGCCCACTGGTGAGTGAATTAACTGATTAAAAATACTTTTTTAAATATATCTTTTTTATAACCATTTTAGATTGGTAATGGTTTAAAATCCAACGTGAACAAAGAATGTTAGGGCATTGGAAATAGCACTGACATTGGCCCATAGTTTTCCTCTGATTAAATGAAAGTGACACCAGTAGATTAGAATGAGACTAGGACAATTCACACTGCAATTGTGTTAGTTTAACTTTAACAATCTTTTAACACTCTTGTTTAAATGTAGCTGACATACCATAATTACAAATCTACAAGCCTTGATTATAGAATTTTACATCATGAATCAGTGGGGAAATTGTATTGATTTTTTTTTTAAGCAAGCACCTTTCCCAAACTGTGGCATCTTCCCAAATATGTGTATACCTTTACCTCTGATATACAACTGTGTATGATATATATACTATGTACAGCAGACATAATAACAACATAAAAGTTAAGTAAAATTTCCATGTTAATAAATATATATTCATATGTAATGTATATAATACACTATATTGACATACATTGTGTATGTATACTGAATATATTTATTGTACTGACATAAAAGTGAAAAATAGGAATGACACATATGTTTGCATAGACATAGATGTAGTTTTCCCCCTGTAGCTGTAGTTGTTTATATACTTCTTATATTTAAAGTAAAAATGGATAGAAGTGTGGTGGACAGTATCTGGGAGAGGTTAAGGACATAGCCCTGAAAATTTCCTGTAAGGTTTAGTAGCTTTTTTATCT